ATTTTTTTTATTTGTTGTTCACCAAGGATGCTTTTACTTTATAAAAATACTGTAAAAACAGTCATATTGTGAAATAATACTGCAATTTAATATAACTGGGTTACATTTTAATATAATGGAATTTAATTAATTTATTCCTGTGATGACAAAGCTGAATTTTCAGCATCATTACTCCAGTCTAGTGTCACATGATCCTTCAGAAATAATTCTGAAAAGAAATAATATGCTGATTAGATGCTCAAGAAATATTTTTTTTTCAGGATTCTTTGACAATTAGAAAGTAAAAAAAAAAAACAATATTACAAAAAAATATTACAATACTTTTGTCACTTTTGATCAATTTTATGCATTAATTAAATATGTAATTTACTTTTTACTAACTTGTACAAGTCCTGCTTCACAGGAGGACACTTGTCGAGAAGGACTCAATGAGAAAGGAGAGCTATGAAAGCAAACAGGTGGTTCATTTCACAGTGAGACGGTTCCTAAACCAAACCATTCACATGGGGAGAGAGGGGGAGCCACTGCAGGAATATCATTTACCTTACAGAAACATTCTTCCAATACCAATATTTGTGCCCAGAGATGTCACGCAGCCTGACGTTACCCGTGAGCCCTCTCCCTCCAGAATAAAATCCATCATGGACTCTGAGACTAGTTTAAATGGTCTTTGCCTTCAGAAGAGAGAGGTCTCGTCCATCACCGAACATAAGCCAATGTTAATCCAACCCAGGAGTCCAGACTTCAGAGCGTCCAGCCTCATCTCTCCCCCACGAGACACACTCGGCTTCCAGCGACGAGAGTGATGAGCTGATGAAAGCTGTCTGCCATCATGGACACGGATACAATGACAAGTATGGTGGGTGACCTCACGCATACTTAAATACCAAAGCCTTCAAGAGAACTACATGCTCCCAATTTGTTTTCAGCTGAGACTACCAGAGGAACCTTATCAAAGGAAGATGCCACAAAAAAAGTATTGTTTAAACATAAAATTAATGTCATGCTATTTAACCATATGATTTATCATTTGAAACATTATCGTTGTGCTTTATGTATTTATGTACAATAAATGCCACTTGGTGTGTTATTTAACACAATAACATTATTAATTTTCTAAATGTGGCTTAAGTGTCAAAATCCTTGCAAAACAAATGGGGAAATATTTAGAAAATATTTAGTAATGGTCTTAAACCTGAATATTCTAAATGAAATGAGTCTAAATTGAATGTAATTTTTCATTGTAACCTATATTTGATTATAAAGGAGCTGTTGATCTATTTCTCAGCAGATTTACAATGAACTGCAATGAGGGCAGACATCTCTGATGGATAATCATCATCTATTCAAAACATTTAGTTCTTGGAAATAAATGCTATAAATAAACTGTAAATCTCATTTATATGTATTTATGAAACTATGGCAAACAATAAAAAAACAAACCTGAGTCATTCAAACTGTAATATATTCTTTCGTGTCAGAAAACATATTTATTTATTACACATGTCAGTAACCTCATATTTATTTTTGTGGTACATATTAGTTATGAGCCATCTTTAGACTGAAAATGAATAAATTGTCTATTAAAGTTCATCAGTAATGCAACAAATATGAAAGCATTTGATTAGTCTGCTTTCTACTTGATCCAAAAAAACTGAAAGAAAACAAAAATAATACTGAGAAGCACAAAAAATCTGACCAACAAAATATACAGTAAGGATGCACGATATTGGATTTTTGCCGATATCCGATATGTCGATAATTTTCAACTCATATTGGCCGATAGTCGATGCCGATACCAATATATAATTATTTTAAATTTTGGTTAGTTTTTAACAAGAACTTATTTGTTAGAATTAAATAAACAATAAATAAGTTTAATATAGTACTGTACGATAGTACTGTAAATAATAATTACAGTACACTGAAGATTTGAAAATAACTATAAATAAACTATATATTAATCACTGCATTTTTTTCCCCACAAAGATGCAGTGGTAACCTTAACATTTTATTTTATGATTTAACATTTGTAGATAGTCTAAAGCAAAAGAGTTGTAAAAATTCTGAAAAAATTTCCTACCGTAAATATATCAAAACTTCATTTTCGATTAGTAATATGCATTGCTAAGAACTTCATTTGGACTACTTTAAAGGCGTTTTTCTCAATATTTAGATTTTTTTTGCACCCTCAGATTCCAGATTTTCAAATAGTTGTATCCTATCCTAACAAACCATACATCAATGGAAAGCTTATTTATTCAGCTTTCAGATGATGTATAA